AAATATTTGTGTTGGCCAGAGTTCACCATTGGGCACAGAAACAATGCGAGTTGCACTCAGAGGAATGAGTAAGATTTTGTCCAAATAGCGCTGCACTTTCAGCCCGCATGTGAGTCAGTCTGACGCAGTATCAGTGCCATGTCCGCTCTCTGCTTGTGTGAATGTGATCGGACCCAACCATTTTTCTCGGTGCGAGTCAAAAGTTCTGAGTGAGTGGCAGTGAAGTTGGAAGAGTGAAATTCGTATAAAACGAAACGGATCTCGGGGGAATTCGTAACGAGGTTGTTTGTTACGTTCGAGTGTGATGATGCGAAGGCGTTGATTTCGATGTGATGATAACAGCAAGGCAGGTGTAGAGTCCAGGAAGAAGTTCTAATACGGTGAAGAGAGTTCAGTCTCGTGATGCAAGCTCTCGCGTGAAGAACTCATCAGAAATCGAAACTCAATTGCAGGGGCAAATAGTAGGTCGGATTCAAACTTTTTCTTCGATTTCTCATCGAAGAACAAATGCACTGTAGGTTCATCACAATTTTGGACAGGTTGACGCGCTCGATTCCAGGATCACTCATCTTTCGAGCTACTCAATACATTTCATCAAACATATATCGCTATTTTTTTCAGGTATAGGATAGATTTTTCAGGAGGTGAGGACTGCCACAAAACGACTCTGAGAATTGTCCTCGTTTCTTCATTATAATTTTCTTATTTTTTCAATTTTCACTTCTTTTGCGGCTACTTGAATTGAGCTTCACCAGCATAGAACAACACAAACCATCAATATAAGATAGAAGACATCAATTTAAATTATTGCATAAGAAAAAGCTCATGATTCCACATTTTTCATTGAAATACAATTGATGACATGGAAGCACATCAGACACGTACGAAACAAGTGCACCTGCACAACTCCTAAGTACGAACAACATACAACAACGATGAGACAACAAATGTTCAGAGAACATTCCTCGCCATAATAGCGAGTTGAATTTCAGATAATATTCACTTCAAGCTGATAACTATCAGCTAAATTTCAGATCAATTGGAAATATACTGAAGGCCAAGTTGCTTCTAACAACTAAACACGAACTGCTGTCCCTGTGCTGCAAAAGCAAAAGCATGAAGACTGTTTTGATCCGAAATGAACTTCGTATGAATACCCAAGTTACTTCTATTCTTTATAAGGATTATATCTACATATTTATTATTAGCAACACCTATTTTGACGGAGCTCATGCACGAGCATAATTCTAACCACGTGTGCGAGCACACAATTAAATTGTCAGTGATATTTAGAATGATATTATATTCCCGAAGCAACGCACTAGATAAGATACACTAATATCTTTATGATTTCTTCTTCAGATAAACCACGATCTTAACAGCATTATTATTATATTTATCTAAACAGCTTTATTCAGACAATTTAGGCCAGACTTGGCTGATATAATCTATGTATTGGGTGCTAGGATTAAATTAATTAACCTTCATAGGCGCGAAGGTCGCTTGATATGTTCTGATTGATAAAAAATATGAAGCCTTTACAAATCGCGTTTTCGAATTCTTGTTCTCGTGTTGGCTCCTGAGGGTAACACAGAGATAGGAATTAGCAAGTAAACATATGTCAACAGTTACCCACCAATAATACGCAAATATATACAAGTGAGGATGTCTTTCAACGATAGAAGGTATGGAGATGCATGCCAAAGAGATCGCCTCTTCCCTGAGAACTACATAGTAATGTCACAGATCAGGATCCGTACTATTAAAGATAGTTACGAGACCTTAACACCGTCCGCTAATTAATGATGGCTTTTCAGGTTAAATCCACCAATTATAAACGAGCAAGTGATCGCTACATATAGTGTGCATAGACCGCTAAATTAGGCAGGTTTTGACAGTTGGTACGGCCCAAGGATTTTCTCTATAGATAGTTAAGAAACACGACTCTGAGATCAGAATAATTATGGAGATCAGCTACAAACAGATCAAGGCGTCGGCAGTATGATAGAACTAATACACGTCTGGCCACGGAAAAAAGCTGGAACGGAAAGAGCAGCGCCGCGAAAGAGATTTCGTTTCCCATCTATCTTGGCAACGAAGATAAATCCCGTTAATTATTTCTAAAAATGTGCAGAGATTCATAGTTGGAAATCTAAATGAGCCGTGTTCAATTTATCAAAATGAAATGACATCAGCGAGCCACCAATTGAAGAAAGAAACGGAAAGTGAATTCCCTTAAATAGTCAGGGTGCAGGTACACAGATAAAGTGTAAGTGCAGAGAACAATGGAGCATTTATGTAGGGAATACCTACCACTAAGGAGGATAACTTCGCGTGTTACAAATTTCATAGTGCTACGTTTGCTCATCATCAAATAAGAAGTAAAAATCCTAACCTAACCCCGAGAATTCCTACTTATAATCACTGCTGGAATCGTACACGGTGCCCATACTATACTACTACGTGAGTAATATACTACGTGAGGGTAGAGTAATTACTATCAGTACATCTCTTGGAAAAGTGCAAACACAACATAGACTTGAACGGCCATCGAATAACGAACTCACAATGATCTGTAAACTTTGAAAACAAATTCACTTCACTACAGTGAACACAATCCCTCGCAACCGTACTCAAGATCTACTCATTGTCGATACGCCGTTTCCTTTCAGTAAAGAATTCATCATTTCTGTTACATCGAGAAGCATTTCACAATGGTATGTTAGCTCTTCAGTAAACTTTGATAATATGTATTTCATTAGAATTTAATTCCACTGAACCATTCAAAGAAGACCATCAAGTACGAGATTAGACCGACTACTACCGTCACACAAAAAGGGTACGAAAAAGAGACCAATATTGATCACCAACAGATTACCGCGTCTTCACTTAAAATCTTTGCTCGCGCTCACTACGACCTGGAATGTTTAAATTACGAAGAAAATATCGGCGACGGCAAATATGGCAACGGTCTCTCGGAAGTCGTAGCCAGATCACTCGTGTTATTTCTAATCTTGTCGCACTATACAATATTTCTGTCACCAGATGGCACCACACTTGGAGTAAATTTCAACATGAGCATTGCATTCCAAGCCTACACAGTTGTTCTTACTTTCCAAGTAGCACACGCACTTCAAGTTTCAATACAAAATAATTTGATGGCATTTCTTGGCAACAAATCCTCCTCCTTTACTTATAAGTGTTCAAATAAAGCGAACCTCAGCAAATACCATAGAAAATTTTCTAAATTTCGCTAATTAACACAATTGACGAGAGGTCTCAATTTAAAGTAACATGGAGCGTATCTGGTACTTCCCAGCACGAGTTCTATAACAAATTAACTGAACGGGTTACTTTTACACGATGTTGCCAGCCTAATAAATAACTCGTGTTCACTGAATGAATTATATGTCATCGAGGGCTTCTCGAGGGGACTGTGGGTTCATGAGGTCTATTTCATCAGCGTCATCCCCCATCATGACCCCAGCCTCATATTCCGAGCCCGTCATCCCCACAACGGTATTCGAGGACCCGTTAAAAGAAGCTGTTGGCGACAGACGTCGATCTCGTGGCGACAAGTGGTACCCACGGGGGGACATCGGGCTTTGATCTGCAAATCTCGGTGACAGTGGGCCGTGATCTAGAGCTCTTGGAGAGGGGGGACCAAGGTCCACGAGACGGTGACGGTCACGGGGGGACAAGGGACCGATGTCAGAGGCGTTATTGCGGTGCCTGTCGCGGGGATAGAGAGGACTCATGTCAGATCTTGTGAGCTCCAGTGGCGGGAGAGATCCGATGTCCCGGCCGCCCCCGCGGTGGCCACCGTCGGGAGTAACGCGTCCTGGTGTCGAGGGTGAATGCCGGTGAGGGTGGGTCGATGTGGGTGGAAGAGATGTAGGCTGATAGGAGAAGGGGGCGTCCAGACAATGGGAAGAGGGGGAGTGGGCACGAGGGATGAGAGATATCGGGGCGTTGGTGAGTGGGGAAAGAGGGGACGACAGCATCCGTGGGGAGAGGGGCGAGTTAGGATGATAGCGAGGAGAAAGCGGGGAACCGGGAGGATGACAAGGCGACATTGGGGAGTTGGGTGGAATTGGGGAGCGTCGAGATGAGGCACTCAAGTGTATTGGGGAATGAATGGTGAGAGAACGTCGACAGGGACTCCGTTGAGGCTGCGGGGAGCGATGCACCGCGAGAGAAGACACGCTGGGGGAATGAGGCGCGAGGGAATGTGATGAAGGGGAAAGCGAGGGCGACTGCAGCGAGGGTGAGTGCGGCACCGACGCATGAAACGAAGCAGAATGTTTACGGTACGACGGTCGACGAGGGGCAGGTGCTTGGTCCTGGATGTGCTGCTGGAACAGCTGAGTGAGCTGCTCAATGCTGGGTTTGGGATGCACACGAACAGGAGAGTTGCCTTCCATGTGTTGCGAGTGTTGCTTAGGAGGCTTCAGGGTATGACGTCCTGAAAGAGAAGGTGACAAACGTAGGTCGTGTGGAGGAAGAGTTTCCTTCGTGGGCAACTGCAACGTAAGAGCTAACTGACGCCTGGATACCTGTGGCGACACATGCTTGCTAGCAGCACCCTGCAGCTGCTGCAGCTGTAACAACTGTAGCTGCTGTTTCTGCTGCTGCAGTAACTGTTGTTTCTGTGACGGCATGGGTGAAGACAGCCTGTTCTGCTTCATGGCAAGTAATTGCTGTTGTTCCTCGAACGTCATCACCGGCGATGGTTGCGAATGACGATGATCAGAATGTGAAGACGACTCAGCGGACGAGGTTTTGTGTCTACGGGGCGGAATTTGTTGCACTTGGTATTGCTGAAGTGACTTATTCCTGTGCTCTACGTTATCTTGTGGCTCATAATCATCCTGCTGTTCTTTGCGTTGATGTTGTTCGTGTTGCAAGTGTCGGGGATGTGTGTACTGAGTTTGTTTTTCGTCTACGTGTTGAGTTTGGTGTTGTGTTAGAGAATGCATGGCTTTGGAAGTGTGTTGTACCTTGCGTATTTCAGCCATAATGTCGTTAGGGTCCCGAGAGGAGGTAGTTTTCATGCTCCAAGTGAAGCGAAGCGACCGTGGTTTGATTTGCTCCTCACCGCCTCCTGGGCGCGCCACCGACGCACTACAACAAAATATGCAAAACAACCACGTTAGTATGCAGGGAAACATTTACAGGGGAATCAATCATATAACCTCTAAACAAATGACGTTGTAATAACGTTGAATCAACGTTATTTCAACGTTAGATGCTATAGGTGGGTAGCAACAGATAACGTACTTACTTTCATAGGCCATCCTTGTCCCAAACACACGGTAAACAGACGTAAGAAGAGACATCGATTTCGTCCACGTACAGGGAGCGCGAGTTTTTCCAACGAATTAAGAGTACTTAGAAATAATTGAATTTTGAATAAATTTAAATGGGAATTTTTCCCGGTGATTATTAAAAATTATGCAAATTTTAGATACTTCAGATGCAAACTTTCGTCAGAGAAAACTTAAATTATTAAAAAATTTTAGAAATCAAAGTTATGTTTACTTACCGCACGTAATTATCGTATCAAGCTTCTATTGAAATTAGACCGACCATCGAAGAAATTACAATAAAAATTCTTAATAAGAATTCACCACTACTGCCGGTAATTGAAAGCAGTTATGTTAAGAGCGTAAAAGCCATAAAATATTGAATGATTTCATCAATGAATTGAACAAAACACGCGTCTGTTTTATGTGCTTCACATGTACAAGTGCGCTGAAGCTCTGCAGTATAAAATGGGCATATTTTCTACGTTACGAGCTCACGAGAGGAGCGTTCTACCTAAACAAAGAATTTATTCAGATGCTTCAAATTGATTGTGTGATGTTCACAGGTGATTAACGCTCTAGGAATTTAACAAGTCTTAAACGTGGATTACTGCAAATGCAGGTGTTTAAAATCTGATATTATAGCCACAAGAGAACTGCGTTCATTTGATTATGCAGAAGACACGAATCTAGGTAACGAAGATACCAAGATAACTATATATATATATATATATACTTATATAGTTGGTGTATATATATACCTACTGACTTTATATTCTACTTCGAAAGTAAAGCAGACTATGTTTTTCTTACTTCCGACAGGCAAATATCAATGAAGTTATTTCTACAACGTTTTTCCGGTGAATTGACGACGTAACATAAATAAGCAAGACCAAAAAGAATGCGTACATCGAATGCGTCAGTAGTGAAGTATTATAGTCCAGTATTTATTATGATCCATGTTAGTCTCCTTCAAAGCTCGACGGGGAGGAACGTATTTAGTTATCAACAAAAACGAAGAAGATTCAACGAAGGAAATAGTAAGGGGATGATGAGGAGATGGAAACTTAAAATAAATTTTTGAAGAGTATGAGCCAATTCCAGAAAAGCTATTTTATACAGTACTAAAATAGTGTTAGTTTGCCAACCGCGAAAAGTGGAGAATGCCGAAAAAAGTCCAGAGAAAAATTCGATCAACGGATATTTTTCATGAACACAATAGTTTTGAGTTTTAGTTGTAATTTTGTTTTGTTCAGTCAACTCCTGAAAGCATATGCAACAAGAAGTCAAATACACGATAGTGAGGGAGTGAGTGAAAACGTGTAAGTCTAATTAAATCCTCAGGCTATAAATTATAAGCCTGTAATCTCTGACCAGTATTACGGGTTTCATTTACCGCCTTTCAGCTGCACTTCACAATAAACAATGTTACGGTTCACGCGTTTTCCAATCTTGTACAAAACGCCAAATAAATGTTGCATTTCATTAAAAAAAATTCTGATCAAAACCTTTGGCGCCCGAGGCCTATACTGAACGATTACTGATTATTCTTGCTCTTAACAGTCACGATTGTTCAACGAAGCCTGAATTGTTACGTTAACAATTGTTTAGCCCCACGCGCAACCGAATTATTAATAAGGAATAGGAATGCACTTGCCTTTTTCTACAAACATGCACACACACAAACTTCAACACACGATCATAGTGAATACTAGAACACAGTAAGTCTTAGATTGAGCTAATTACCACCGATTCTAGGTTATATTAATCAACATCGAAAATTCAACTCTGATAATCCTACACGCAGCGAAATGATTGGTTCATTGCTCAAACAGTGACACACTTTACTACCTTCAGTACGAGCGTAGAGAAGACGTAACACTGATACGCCCTCGTGCTCGGCCAAATTCGGTCAGGAGTGATGATGTAAAAAGTGCATCACAATTTGGACAAAGTATCACTCATTTATCCGAGTGTGGCTATAGCGGTAAGTCAACTCCAGAAAGTAAGTAAACAAACAAGCATACGACCAGGCCGCTACAATCATCTAAAGCTGCAGCTGCTGGTAGATGTAGAAGTGGTAGTAGCAGGCAGATGTAGTGGTAGTGGTAGTAGTAATAGCAACAGCACTAAGTTCAAAATTTTGTGCTATTAGTTTTAATATTTAAACAAACGTACCTAGGAGGCTGCCTGGGAGTGGCTTCCAACTGACTGAAAATGAAGAATACAAGCAACAGGTCAAAAAATGGTAATCATGCTGTGGGTACAAAATAATATTATTAAAATTATAATTAATTAATCAATTAAACTGCAGACAGCTCGTCTGCAGACTGTGGAATGCACACGCGGAAAAGCAGTGATGGGAACTCGAACATCCAGGAAAAAAACATAAGAAATTGGAGAAAATTCCGAAAATAGGAACTTCGTTGAAAAAATTAGGATTCTCTTTTCGGAAATTCGTTAAAAACGGAGATAAGGAGTGAATAAAAATCACGGAGAGGATAGAAATAAAAATTCTGTAGAATGATCAAAAAATAAAGTGGAGGTTAAATATCCAAACTTGGGAATGGATCTCGGGTGTAAATAAAGTTATAATGAATATGATTACAAAATTACTTAGGGGGAAAAGATGTTCGTTGTAATAGAAAAGGAAAGGCATTTAATGAATGCAATGATGGATTTGAGACGACACCATTCGTTGGAAAAAGTTTGAGAAAATTGAATTAGGTTAACGCATGAATATCATAAAAAATTGAAGCTATATGGATACGGATTTCCATGCAACGTTCAATCGTTACTATCTCTTAAGAACACAACACTGATTAATATAATGCAAACAAATATTGGCTGAAAAATTCTACAACTTCTAACCTTGAATTTCATTCAGTAATCGATTCTGATTCAGTAATTGTCGACAACAATAATAATGTTATGATCATCATTATGTTATGATTATCATTGGATTGTGATCACCTAAATAAGAAGATTGGAGCTAGCGTGAAAAGTTCAGATTAGGCTAATTAGTTCATTTTTGGTTATAAAAGCAGTTAGTTCAATATCTTGATCAATTGAGATTCATCAAAACATAAAGCAGCTTATGCTGCGAACACAACGCATCGATTATTCAAATAAATCAACAGAATAATTCATATCATTCACCGAATGAATAACAAAATGAACCGAGAAGAAAGAATACAAGCTTTAGCGTGTACTTTAGCAGCCATTATCAGAGTGTTGATTGTGCACGTGAAGTGATTCAGTGCTAAGCAGCATTCTTATTTGAGTGTATCAGACGAAGTGATGAATGCAAACACCATAACATATTAAATGCAAAGTCACACATTTGCGGAAGATCAAACACCAGAAAAAAATAAATGACTTGAAGCTAGAGTCGTCTGAAGGTATTATTACCAGAATGTACCGCGACAAAAACGCTACCTTCACCCCAGTGATCTACAACTCGGCGTGACCGAGTGGTTAGGATAACCAAGATTGCAGAGTAAATAGAATTTGGATTAGAAACACGCAACTCGTTGTGAAAATTCTAGTCGAAATCGGCAAAATCGGTGGTTAAGATTCGGCGATAAGTCAACATGGCTTAATCAAAACTGACATCACTACAATTATAAATATTAGTCAACATCGTTAGGCTATCAAGAATGAACGGAGATATCTTCAAAACTTTCTTCCCTTTGTGCCTACGCGGACAAAATAAATATGCAGCCTGTATTGCTCCTGTGAGATGAATTTGATAAAGGCCTTAGAAAGATAAAAAAAAATAACCAGGTTTTTTTTGTCGAAGTTGAGAAGTGTTTGCCAAAAACGTTAGACAGATAATTGGGTCCGAAGACTGAATCAGATGAATAAGCTAAACAAAGAAAACAACCAATAAATAAAGCGATCTACCAGAGATCCAATTATTGCTGCAGGAGCAGAGATATAACGATCTAGCAAATCTTAGTAGAAACGTTCAATTTCTGATAAACTATTCCACTAAAATAGTAATAAAAATTCAGGCGTAAGGTTAGCGCGACTTTTGACAGCGAATTGAAAGAGAAGTAATGGCATCAGAAATGATATACCAAAATTTCTTACAAATTTAATACTGCGCACAAATTCGTAGTTGTTCAATTAGGACCAATTTAGAAATAGACAAAACAGATATACCTATAGACGAAGATTTTCTAAGCCAACACTTCACAAAATGGAAGAAGTAAAGAAGGACAAATTAGACGACATATATGGATGATTTCAGCTAAGAATTAAGGAAATTTGGCGAAATGCAATTAAAACCAAGTCGACTGACATAAAAAAAAACGACAAAGACTGTCTTCCAGCCGCACAAATGACACACGTTACCAAACGCATTATACATACAAAACTTTCTATATTTATGGCTAAAACTTACAACTGCGAAAAGACCAAGAGAACACAAACACATGGGCATATTGGCCTCCCACCGCTTGAAAAACGTAGAAAATTTTTTTTGGCTAAAAATTTCTAATTTTAAATGATCTAAAGAAGACAAACGTATGCAAAATTCTCCCTGCTTGAGGACTGAAACTTTCACTTTTTGAATTAAATTAAAAAAGGAGAAAAACGGACATCAAAGAACTTAGAGGACTGAAACTTTCACTTTTTAAATTAAATGAAAAAGAAGAAAAACGGACATCAAAGAACTTAGAGGACTGAAACTTCCACTTTTTTAAATTAAATTAAAAAAGGAGAAAAACCGGACATCAAAGAACTTAGAGGACTGAAACTTTCACTTTATAAACAAATAAAAGAATTAATAGGGACACCAAAATGCGCTTACCGCTTGGAGAACTTGGAGGAGATCTTGGAGAAGAAGGAGGTTCTGATGGCTCCAGAAGCAGGCAGCACCGAGGTGTCCTGAGAGGTGAGAGGAGCACCCATGCCTCCCCCATACGCGGGGTTGTTGTTGTTGGGGCGACGCGTTTGTCCCCCATGGAAGGTGGACCTGGTCGAAAAGTTGCGGGGGAAGGGTGAGGCTGTGGGAGTGGAGGACTGCCGGTTGTTGGGGGGAGCATTGGGTGATGACAGTAGCCCCCCGGGGGAGGCTTTCGTGCTGCTGCCGCTGCTGCCGCCGCTGAAACGCGATCCAAGAGTTAGTATTGCGTTAAGAGTTTTGACCTCACTAAGAGGTTTATAATTCCTCATGAATAATTATTCGAGTTTTAATGCTCACTAAGGGGCTTATAAATCCCCACGAACAATTTATGGCACTTTAATATCCTGACTAAGAGGCTTATAATTGAAAAGGAAGTAAGGCTAATGATTTCTCTATGAAAAATTTAAGGCACTTTAATATCTTACCTATTATACTATTATTATTATAACTAAGTAATACCTCATAGCATAGCTCAAATGATATACTTAATAGCCGAGGTATTACTTAGTGAACAATATTTCAAAATGAAAAATTTACTGAGCAATACCACATAGTAGAGGTGTTAATTAGTGTATAATACCTCATAATTGAGGTATTACTTAATGGGCTTCCAAATTGAACATTAAAATACACAGAAAATAGTGCAACATAAGGCATCACTCATAGACCGGCCTGTCGGATTCACTCGTAAATCAACAGCATAAGAAATGATAAAAAAATAAAAACATTCTCGCCGAGATCCCTTCAGTCAAAATAAAATAAGACCAATAAATAATAACCAACACCAAACGTCCATTAAACTGGGAACCGGAGAAATAATTCGAGACACAACTAATTGATTATAAGCAACCAGTAGCGCAAGATTTATTTTCTGGAAGCAAGTAATATTTATTTATATTGTAAAATAAGCACATCGAACATGAGAGATAGAAGAGCAAACTCAATGCTCCGTAACAGCGATATTATAATAGTAGCCGACATGATAACAAAAAGTTACTATAATTGATTAGTAATTTTCAAGTGAAATTATAATCAAATTAAACAGGGTGGGTATACAGACATAAACAACGGAATATATCACCTATAAGAAGAATATTAATTAATACGAATATTATAACCGAAAGATTTCGTTAGATCCCTATTAATTAGCAACCTCGAATAAGCTTAACCGATTTTTAAAAAGCAAGCAAACCGAGCAGGAAGGGTCAAGAAAAAACATTCTTTGTGTTCAACATGACATCCGCAGAAGGATATCATATCTTCTTTTTTTCATAAAACGTTGTTTTTTCTTAGTTATGAAATCTTTTTTGAAAGCTCGGAAAATTTCACGTGTATTATTATTATTTTTGTGTAACTTTCCCACATCGAGGTTATGTGGTCGCATTAATAATCAATATTTCAACACCAGGCTCTACAATTAAGATTAATTTTATTATTATTGATTCTTATTTTAAAAATTATTTAGGTATGAAAATAGTTTTTAAAATAATGATTAATGAATAATAATGAGATTTTTTATATAAATAAAAAGTTTTCGTTTCTCGCATCAGATACAAAATATATATTAATTTTAGAGCCCCAGGTGTGCAAATACCGATAGGTATTTATTGCGACCAAGTAACTTGGACGCAAGAAAATAGCACCAAGAATAATATTACACGTGACATTTTCAGAGCTTTCAAAAAAAGAATTCACTACTAAGAAAATATAAACGTTTATGAGAAATAAGAAGAGAAGCCAAAAAATAAGCATAATTGCACACTGCACACCTAACAGTGCAAGTTGGGTGCAATATACACTGAGAAAAATGAACGGGTCGTATTTTATATAAAGTGACACGCTTTATGCACTGATACACTCTTATGCTGAGCCAAACAGGGTCAGGATGACCCACGTAAGGGCAAACAGTGAATCTTTGCTTGGACAAAGTCTCCTCATTTCTCTCAGTGTACACCGTAAGGCACCGTATTCAGTAGCAGATCCAGAATCTAACTTCAGTCAAATCAATGTCAAAAGCTTTATTTTAAATGAATATATCTTTCAACAAAACATTTCATAAACACAAAAAAAAAAAAAATCATCAATACTTCATCATCGGCCAGCAGCGCTGGACCTGTCGACTTAAACCAGATAAATGCGTTAATATTAATCTAATAATGTTCTCTTGAACAGTTAATGCGTAATACACATTGGGTTTGTATATAGATAAATAAATACGAATACAATCATCACTAGTACTAGCAAGTTAGTGCTAGTGATGTATTAGTAATACTAGTTACTAGTACTAGTAATAGTTACAAGACTCTTTGCATGTTACAGAATAATTAATTTAATTGCACTATTCCTCTTTTACAACACTGGTGCACACAAATATACACTCAATAAAAGTGAATGGGTCATATTGTCCAAATAGCGACATACTTTGCCAGCACAGCACGAGAAGACAAACACGGCCAAACTGGACGTAGCAAAACACGGCCAAACTGGGTCAGGATGACCCACACAAAGGCAAAAAAAGCATCGCTATTTGGACAGCGTTTCACTTATTTCTCCGAGTTCTTAACAATAATACACCTACAATAAACAAACTAACGGCATCTTGGAAAAGTGTTTCGAATGACTCAAGTATCCATGCATGTAGATAGTCGTTAACACTGAGAAAAATGAACGGTTCGTATTGTCCACCAAGTGCGACACTTTCTGCACGTGGCACTAATGAGCCCTTCTGGACAAAATGGGTCATTATGACACACACAATGGCAAAGAGTGAATTGCTTTTAGGACATATTCTCCTAATTATTCTATACTATCGAACTACATTTAACATGCTTACACATTTCGAAGCTAGAAGCAAATTCCGTCAGTTAAAATTCAGTTAAAATGCAAAGAATTATATGAACAGCAATAGGAAGCAAGGACAATGAGCAAAAGAAAACAAAACAGGAACAAAAAATTGAATTGAATCAGGTTTTCCTCAATAGGAATATGTTCACTTTTACGTTTATCTCTCAATTTAGAGTAAAATTAAATCATATACACAAGATAGAGAAATACAATCCCAGGCGCGACCAAACAAGCTGAACAACAAGACAATCAACAACCCATAATACACAATTTTTCTCTTAGTTACTTTTAAAATGTAAATTTAAAACACAGAAACGTTTTCGATTAAATTCACGAAAATTAATTCCTTTAAAATAGCTCAAGAAAAGAACCAAAATCATTTTTAAACTTCCACGCCAAAAAAATTTCAGTGCTAAAAAATGGCAAGACAATTCCATCTCATTTAGTGAACACCAGAGATTATATTTAATTTACAAGACTGCTGACAGATTTTTCCAACAAATACATGTTCAAGCCATGAACAAGTTTCTTGGACAACACATTACATTCGAGCGTAAAAACAATCACACAATTCATCGCTTGATGAATACAGCAATAACGCAACAACACATTTGCGTGCATGTGGAAAAACACATTCTTTAACCCACGCAAGAACACATTTTTCAACCCTTACGGCTTACAGGAACACATTATTGACCCTCCCAAAAACCCATTTTTCAGCCCTTGCAAGAACACATTTTTTAAGCCTTTCAAGAAAACATTTTACAACCCACGCAAGAACACGTTTTTCATCACTCGAGATGGATGCCAACATGGGAAATGAGACAAAGGAAGATATAAAAATAAGAATTATTCTGCAGCGAATGATTATTTAAATTTATATACAATAGAAAAATAATAAGATGAATGCATTTAGATTTTAGACGAATATGAAATAAAAAAACTATCATTGTCAGAATCAAACCCTAGTTGCGAGAACCAAACTTAGAAGCAAACAAATAACAAAAAATGCTAAGGATCAGTCAAGAGGTAAAAACGCCGTTGCTCAATTCAGTTCGATTGGACAATCGTGCACAAATGGACATCAAATATCGTTTCTATATCAAATTCAAGAGCTGAAAACTTTAAAGTCACTTGTGCAAAAAAGTAGTAGAACAGTGCATATTTTTGGCAAGCAGCAATGATGGGACCAGAAAATACAATGTATAATAAGGGGAAATATTGGGCAAGAGAAAATATAGCATGTGAATAGAATTTCATGAGAGCTGCAACATAAATCGATAGGAAACATCATTAAAACGAATGAATTTCATATTAAAGCAAACGGAGAGAACTGGAGTACCAATGAGAAAACAAGAAAACGTTTGGAAATGATAATGAAATTAATATAAAACATCTCTAAAATTCGTAGGAAACCCGCCAACAGCGCAGAGTGGGCGTTCGGAGATATGGTATTAGATAACTATCATTGAGAAGACCAGACGTAATAATTATAAAGGAATTGAACGACAGCAGAAACATGGAACATGGTAGAGAAAGAGGTTTGAAAGATGAACAGGAAATGTCGGGGATTTTTTTATAGCAGTAAGATATCAAAACTAGGAAAATAGAGCCTCAAATGTGAAAGTTAGAAAACTGAATTAAAAAATTAAAGGGTTCAGGTTGAAAAGCCGATTTGAAGAAAGTTAATTGCAAGAAATCAAAGGTATATAGATAAGCGAGCCGAGAAAAATAGAGAAGAAATTAAGGTCAAAGAAACGAGCAACAAACCAAACATTCCAAAAGTGCATCGCTATTTAGACAAAAGCTCACTCATATCCCTGAGAGTAATAAGTTTGATGAGAATGAATGACCGATGATTGAGAGGAATGATACCGGAACATACCCCGCATTTATGGCACCACCACCATCACCACCGCCACCACCATCCCCAGGGGGGTTAAGCGGGTCAGGGTTCTGGCCCGTGGTGGGGTGGGGACCCTTAGGGTCCATGCAAGGGTCGGGGTCCTTGCTCCGGTCAGGACCCGGGCCCGTACCCGCCGACACGGAAGCGGACTTAACGTGCCCGCGTGACGGCGGGGGACCAACGAACGGTCCCCCGCTGAGGGGACGGGGGGCCGGGGGGGCACGACTACTTATTGCGGTGGTGAGGGGGACAAAGGGGAAATGAGGGGAAGATGAGGGGAGGAGAAGAGGGAGGATAGATGATAATTGGGGACATGGGGGGAGTGAGGGTAATGGATATGGAGAAGAGAGGGGAACATGGAGTGGGATTGATATGAGGGAGATGTGGGGGATCCGGGGTGATGTGGTTGGAGAGGGGAATAGAGGAGGAGATGAGGGGGATGTGGTTG